TTAATCTCAATTGGCGGGCCCGCTGGCTGGCTAGCAGCAAATGAGAGCCCGTAGAAGAACGCTTGTAAAGGGTGTGGCATTTTTAACGCACATTTTAAATTCGAAATTAAACACATTAAATAATTACGAAATTGAAATATTTTTATTGGAATTTGAAGTTGTGTTCATGACATTACGTATGGAATATAACATCATTTAAATGGCCACCTCTGGCTTGGTGGCAAGACCGCATTCTTTTATTGAAATTTTCCATAACATTTTCGCATAATTCTGGTTCAATCTCCTCAATACAGCGACGAATTTCGTCCTTCAATGCATCGATGGTTTCAGGATTGTTCACATAAACCTTGCTTTTAAGAAAACCCCAAAGAAAGAAATCCAATGGGGTTAGATCGCAAGATCTTGGAGGCCAGTTAACATCGCTGAAACGAGAAATTATGCGATTTCCGAATTTTCCACGCAATAACTGCATGGTTTCACGTGCCGTGAAAAAAAAAAAACGTTCTTGCGAGGTGTAGCGCGACATTTTTATGAATGTCAAACATCAAACTTGACAGTTGCCAAATTTGGTGAGTTTACATTCGGTAGTTCAAAAATGGCGGCAAATTTAAAATGTGCGTTAAAAATGCCACACCCTTTAGAAAGACGAGGAGTGTAAGCGTACCTACCGGGGACGTGTAATTAAAACAACTTTAGGAAGTGGGTTACATGATGTGAGATCGGCGACGTCTGGGCGCCACCCCGAGCGTGGTTTACGTTTATTGATGAGGTGATTTTTCAGTTTTTTTCTATCTCCACCAAAATGCAAAAGGGAATGTTGCAGCCCGCGACCAAATCTTACTAATTGTGGAGTAAAGACTTCAAACGCGAATTGCGGGTGAACGGGACGTCGGAAGTGGGTATCGACAAAGCGAATGGGGTAGCCTTCGACAAGATCTTATTGATGACTAATGGATTACTGATATGCCACACAAAAATGCGCTGAAATCCTTTCGATCTAACACTCATTAAAAATGAATCTTGAAAAGCGATTTTTTTTAAAACCAATGAAAGGGGCTGGGCACTATTTTTAGTATCGTTTATTACAATTATGGAAGAAACAATTATTAATTGCCCTCAACTCTCGCTTTTGTTTAAACAAAAATAGCTTAGTATTCGGTTGTAAAGTAGCCTGGCATACATTCAAAACCCACGACATATAATGCAAGAAGAAACACGCCCTTTGAAAAATTTTCGGAAATATTGCAGACGTTCCAAGGACGTTTTGGGCGTATCATTATCCAACACTCAGTTCTCGATATATGAGGATTTATACCCCATCACAACAAGGAGTCAAGGGCGAGAGCTGCTTTGGTAGAAATTAATTCCTCTAGTTAAGAGCTTTCATCAGAGTAGCTACCATGAAGCATAAAACCAGTTCCTCTCCCCCCAAAACCCCCAATTTCGATAAGGCGAAAGGGAGAAGGGCGGTAATTTTCATTTGTTCTTTTTTTTGAGAACGTTAATTAAAATAGCATCAAAGATAATTACGAATTCTAATTCCCTCGTTCTTTATTCACTGACCTTGACAAAGAGTCGGGCAAGATTTTTTAGTCCATGGAGCGCTCTCCCTAGCTTTTCAAAACAAGAAAATTTGGGGGCCGTTGGACACACTTCGGAAGTATAGGCTACTTATTGAGACAAATTTCAGCGTTCTAGGGCAATTCCCCTGAAATTACTTTAAAACCGGAAAACAAGGTCTGAATATTTACAGAAATGCTCTATTTTGATAGCCGTATGTTAAATACTGTACGTGTAGCATGTTTGTAGATTGCTCAAGGGTGGTTTCGGAAAGTGGCGAACACGTTGCTACCAGTGATAAACACATGCCGAATGAAAATATTCTTCAAGACTTACGGTCCAAAACCCGCAAATGTTAAGTCCGCCCCTGTTGGTGGTATAGGGCTAAACAATCTTTGATTTACGTATCACTCGAACGGACGGAAAATTGACGAAATATTGTTTTGGATGCTATTTAAGCGAACCAAATAAACAATTATCCTCGGCATTCGATAACTAGTGCAAAAACACCCCCGGCCTGTAAAGTGTAAGTGTAAAAAATTAACTGAAAGTTGGAAAGTGCTGGGATCAAAAATCAATTTACATAATAGTAGGGGAGCTAACACGAAATCCACTGAACGAGAATGATCAAAATTTTAACCGATGGTGTTCCATTTTGCCCTATCAGAGTATGCTAAAATCGATCGTCTGCCGCCTCAGGTCATACGACTTAAGGCGCTGCGGGTACTTCTTGTGGTACCAATTCTGAAAGGTTGTTTTTCGAAAAAATAAGTTATATACCAAATGAAAACGTTGATTAATAGCTCTTAAAAAAATATTTTAAAAAATCCCGCGCATTTGATAACTCCGTAAAAAAACAATTCTTAGTCGGTTTTTCACGAACTTTCTACGGATATAACTAGGTTACGGTGGGACGAATGAAGCTGATTTTTTTTACAGACTCATGATAAGCACTACTAATGACTTAACGGTGTTTCGTTTTTAAATTTTGTCTCTAATTACAAGATTATCTTATTATCTTAACATTATAAGATATCTTATAATTAGAGAAAAAATTTAAAAAAGAAACACTCTCATAGTCATTGGCTGTACCTATCATTGATCTGTAAAAAAAATCAGCTTCATTCTTCCAACGGTAACCTAGTTATATTCGTAGAAAGTTCGTGAAAAACTGACTAAGAATTGTTTTTTTACGGAGTTATCAAATGTGCGCGATTTTTTTAACTATTTTTTTAAGAGCTATTATCAACGTTTTCATTTGGTGTATAACTTATTTTTTCGAAAAACAACCTTTCAGAATTGGTACCACAAGAAGTACCCGCAGCGCCTTAAGTCGTGTGACCTGAGGCGGCAGACGATCGATTTTAGCATACTCTGATAGGGCAAAATGACACTCCATCGGTTAAAATTTTGATCATTCTCGTTCAGTGGATTTCGTGCTAGCTCCCCTACTATAAGGGGGTGTTGATCTAGTCGTGAATTTTGTATGCAATAGCATTAAAAGTTTATTTTCTAAATTAAAGGACAGTTATGGAAGAAATCGTTCAATAAATTGATTACCTAAAATAGGAACATTATTTAGAAAGAAATCAGCTCGTTAGCAACGGGCACATCTGTTTATGATTAACGCGTATAATCTTGAACATTTGGCGACGTACCTACAGTTGGAAATTTAATTCGAATACTGTGATAAGAATTAACTATAGTAAACCTTTACCATTGTTTAAATACGTTATAAACAATGTCTTTACCATTGTTTAATACTTTATAAACAATGTCTTTACCATTGTTTAATACTTTATTTAAACAATGCCTTTACCATTGTTTAAATACCCTTACTTTAAAAAGGCGATAAGTTTTTGAATTATTTTGAAAAATTCATTTGCTGAATGAGGATGGTTAGAGGTGATTTTTTCTATAAATCTTAATTTGCATGGTTTGGCCTTAGCACCCTAATCACAAAACAAAAACTCACCCTTTTCGATTCTGGCTCGATTATTTCTTGAAGCACGAAAGAAACGTTCCACTCCTTAACATCGCTCCACGGGAAATGAACGGCCGGGTTAATAAGGCATTTGAACATGCGTTACCTGGCATAAGCGATAACACCCGGGCCGTGGAGGTCAGATTCGCGCTTACCTTCTTATCTAAAAACTGGAAAGTGAACGTTTTCAAATTTCGACGTGTTGATGAGTGGAATAGAATCAGTGGCGTGTCTTTTTTAAGGATCCACTTGCAACACTCGCTGGGTTAAAAAAATTCTATACCTTGGGAAAATTTGTCATTTTACGCTTGCGTTTTTTGGGGTGCATTTGATATTATTTCTGCGATTAGGGCATTTTTATGAATCGGCATAAAAATGTAACCATATGCGATTTTGAAATTGCGTAATTTTTGTCCTTATTTATAGGACTACTGTGCATTCGTAATCAGTTTACCATCCTTCGGTTCGAGGGTTTAGATCTCAACTATGAAACCATAGAAAAAGCTGATCTTTAGGGGAAATTTTTCGAAAAGGAAATAAAAAACTCTTGCATCGTGTACCATCAATGCTTTGAAAATGGCCAGAGTTTAAGGGTTAAAACATATAGTAGCTGCTTAATAAACAAACTATTTGTAGAGGCCGTTTCATTTTTTTTTATCACAAAGGGCTTCTAATGATATTGGGCACGATGCGTGATTTTTATGTAAGATGATACCAATTTCAATTTTTTTGAAATAGTGCTGTGCAAGTATGAAAATTGCCTCCATACATGCCTTACATGAGTCTTTATTAAGCTCACAACAGAAATTTAATTAAAGAAAACGACAATCACGCAATCAAGCTACTCTTGTGCAAGCGTACATCACTTCCTTTTTCCATAAAGATTGACTTAATAAGATCATTTAAAGACTTACCATTAAAAACCGGCACATGTAAGTCCGCCCCTCTAGGTAGTAAAGTGCAAGTCATATTTGACTTAAGCTCGAACGGGCGGAAAACCCTCGGGAAAACCGAAAAACCTTGCTTTGGATGCCATATTATTGGCAATTAATTTGTTTTAATGCAAAAAATAGCTCACCTAAGATAAGAATACTTTCTAGAAAGAAATCAACTCGTTAATAACGGGCGCATCTGTTGATGACTTATTGCGTATAATCTTGAAAACATTTGTCGGCGCATAGTTTGAAACGAAGCTAAAATTTGCACAAAATCCTAGCTGATTAACCGCATTGTTTCAATAATTGATATACCTACTACGTGGTGGACCAAAACGTTAGCATAGAAATCAAATTTCAAAGGCGACCCGACTATGATTTAGAATGATTTTGATGAATTCGTTTGCCGAATGGCGATGGATATTGTCTATCACTAAAGGGATTCCTTTTTGATAACATCTAATTTGCACAGTTTTAGTTTGTTAACTACGAGCACCTTAATTACAAAAGTAAAAACTCACCCTTTTCGATTTTGGTTAGATTTTCTCTTGAAGCACGGAAGAAACACTCCACTTCTGTATAATGCGCGATGCGCAATGAATCGGTAAAAAAGGCGTTACCTATAGTAGGAGACGATACCTAGGACGTAGGTCGTAGAGGCCCCTTTCGTGCTTGCTGTCTTATCTCTTAACTGGAAATGAACGCAGTGGCGTGCACTTTTTAAAGATCCCTTTGCGACAAATTGAACCCTAGTCTCCAGAAAATTTATGTACTTATTTATGTTACATGATTTGATTATATTTGAATGGTGTTTAATTTGTAGAAGATTTCGTACAATCTGACATCGATTTCGGGCAGTCGAGAAGACATTTTGTGGACGACTCTTCGAAAATACCATTAGGTACCATATTTAATTCTGTATTTAGATTATGGTGCCACGTGGTGGCCAGGGATTTCCGCAGCGAAAAAAACCCGGTAGCGTGCTCGATGATGTTCTTGACCTGTACCATTTCTTCAGACCTTGTAATTTCGAGGTTTTCGGGAAGATATTTGAACTACGTTTCAGAACTCACCTTTGTTGCACTTAACACTATTGCAAATAGGAAAATAACCGTAATCGTTCATGGCCGCTCTTAAACAATAGAATAAGTTGAATATAATAAATTGGGATCATTTTGAGACTACATATTATTATAATTGCAAATAAAAGTTAGTGAAGTAACGAATACCTAGTGGTCAAACGTTTACCTCCATATGATACATATAAGTAAACTAATACAATAATACAATAATAACATATAGTAAATAATCCGAGTGAAGAAAAAGCGGAAGAGGAAGAGGAAGAGAGAGAGAGAGAGGAGGAGGAGGAGGGGGATAGACTGATTTAATCAATTTATCTATCTCGTTTAGAATAGGTCTTAAAAAACCTCATTTCACCAGCATAACATTAGGTACATTATATATATGAAATACTAAAAAGATACATTGGTAAAGGAAATAAATAAAGTATAGAAGAAATAGTTTCTCCAAGCAAACAATAGAGAATTCACTCGTTTTGTGTAAAATATTGTAACTAACAATACTAAAATATAATATATGTTTATACTTACCGTAAGTCTGTGTAATTATCAACAAAACAAATAGCAAGATATTAGAGATATAATGGATAAATCAATATATACAGGGTGTTTACGGTCTTCTCTGTATCCTTTTAAGGGGCGGCAGTACAGCTCAAAAGAAGTCGACAAACCCCAAAACACCTGGAACCCCCAGGTGGCGTCATATCAAAACTTTAAGAGGAACGGCTTAATTTTTTATTCAATGGGAATGGGCAAAGAGCATATGTGCAAATATCTATTAGTCCAGGCTAAATAGCTCTAAAATAGTTTATTTTAGAAAAAAAATTGATACCTGGCGTAACCGGGTTTTTCAGGCAGGTGAAATGAATAGACATTGGGAAAAAATAATTAAAACAGCTGAATTTTTCTGCGGGTAAAACCCCGGGGACTTGAAAGGGGTGGAAAGTGGTCTTTTGCAAAACTATTAATTTTAGACTTTTTTTTGCAAATAAATTAACGTATTGGATCCGCGCTAATAAAAAGTTTTTGAAATCTGTCTTCTCTCCTCTTTAATGTTGCTAAAATATTTTCTTTTGTTTCCCAGTGCCCAACTGTCTTAATTAAAACATCTTTATTATTTCTATTTCCGCATTTTTACTGCAATAAAAGCAATTTTAAGTAAAATCCAATTCTTTTGCTTCCTGAACAATTTGCTTTTGTTCACTAACTCTTCTTCCTGCCTATGTTACAGCTGATGGGATTAAGCTAGGCCTGTTGATCGTTAATTTACAGGAATTATGAATAAAATCCTCATAAAGTTTATTCCAGGTTTTACATCTTGAAAAAGAGGTGTTTCTTTTCAGAAATTGTGAGATCTTGGAAACGGTTCAACTTTACGGGAAAAAAATATCTTCTTTTTTATCATAAAACAAGCTATGTTTCCTCAAAAATTTCAAACCCCTACGACATTTTTTCGCAAAAATAAGAATAAAAAACGAAAAAAACAGTTTTTCCGGTTTTTCTAGGGAAATTGGAGGTTATGTGAAAATAGTGAAGATACAAAAGTAAAAGTTGCTCATTTGATTAATCTCTATAACTTTTACATTGTACATTTTCGTCTAAAATTAATAGTTTTGCCACAATTTGCAAAACACCACTTTTCACCCCTTTCAACCCCCGTGATTTCACCCGCGAAAAAATTCAGCTGTTTTGATTATTTTTTCCCAATTTCTATTCATTTCACGTGCCTGAAAGTCCTGGTTTCGCCTGGTAACTAATTTTTTTTGTAAAAAATATTATATAGCCTGGACTATATGGCTTTACTCAAATCGCGAGACCGCAGTAATAGCCTTCACGGTCGACAATACGCCGGTCAGTCATTTAGACAAGAACGATTGGCTTTCAAGTTTATCCAAGTTCTGTTTACTAGCAAATAGAGAAAATCCGGACAAAAACCCATTCAGATGAAACGCGCCGAGGTGATTGGGCCCTCAAAGCCCAAAGAAGACTCTGGTGGGACACTCGAAGCAGAACCCACCAAGGTGATTCCAATGGAAGTCGGGGAAAGCTCAACTGCCTCAACCAGACGAGAAAGTCCTGGTCGTGACTCAACCAAAGCCAAGGAAAAGGCGCCTGCTGAAGTGAAAGACACCGGCAGGGTCATTAAAGGGGACATCCCTCCTCGTTTACGCTACCGCCCCAGTGGACGCAAGGGAGACAAAAGGTCGTTACATGTCCCATAATGGCCGACATGAATTTATGTAGGTGAATCTACACAGGGCCGCAGCGGCCTCCAGCGCACTGTGTACGAGGTTCACCAAAGAAAATCTAGATGGGGCCCTCAAACAGGAACAATGGGTAAGGTAACTTTTTTATCAAGGGTTATTAGCCCAGAGCAGCGGTTCTTGTAAATCCGAAAGTAATACCCTTTCCCCTTTCCGAGTTCATCAGAGAAGACCTGGTGGTGGTTGAAGCGCCAATGAGCACCGGCCTTGCCAAAATAGTGTATACTTCGGCATACTATCCGGAAGAGAACAAGGCAGTAGATACTGCAAGGAGAAGGGACTACATCTTTTTGTAGGATGTGACGCCAACTTCCATCGCCAAAATTGGGGTAGGACTGACACACACCGTAGAGTACCTTTTAGATTTCTATTATTAGGGGAACTATAGAGATACCAGATACCCAATCACGGCAATGAGCGAACATTTGTAACCAGGAACAGGAAAGAAGTTATGGATATTACTTAGGAGAGGCTTCGAGGAGGAAGAGACAGAGGAACACATCTTCTGCTGGTGAGAGGCTGTTTCCGGACAGAGATCACAAGACCTGGGTGAGACTGGAATAGCACCTCAGCAGATCAGGGAGTTACAGTCGGAGTCGAAGAGAATTCTCAATTTTTTTTTAACAAACTGCCTTTCTCAGAATAAGACACTGGCACACGCACAATAGATCCCAGGGACAAAGTGCGTTGCGTGAAATAGCCCAACCCAAGGAAGAAAAAAAGACTCAGTTAGATTGTTATGGAACTTTAATGGTAATATCAGACCTTTGATGAAGGAAACCTATTAGGCCAATAAGAGCTTCTAACCTTTCGCTTTCACTTGTAATTAATACAAATAGGACCACACTTATATTTTCCCTTTCTGTTGATTGTTGGTTGATGATGGCAGCTTTGCTGTTGAAAGGCGTTCGATCTATTAACTTACTATTGTGGAAGTTAATTTTCATCGAAAAAAATGTCGCAGTGTATTTTTATTTATCAACAATTTATATTTAAGTATTATAATATTGTATCTTCTAAACCTATTGAAATCTTTCCGATTTATGATGCTTCATTGCACCACCAGTCACAGTTGGAGTGAAAACTTCATAATCGGCGACGGTAAAATTGTAATCGCCCATCATAACCGACGGCGACGCACCATCTCCATCGTACGTATGCGGTAAATTAGAATAACTATCCATGTTGGTGTTACAGTTGCTCGAAATGAGTAGATCAGCGCCTGCACCAAAAATGGGCCCGGATCTGAAACGAGACAATGTAAAACGGTTTCGACGGACAAGCACCGGTCGCACTCAGGATGGTAACAGATGGCGAACGGCTTTTTGATTAGATGGAATTGAGTCGGGGGTAATTCCTGATGGTTGTAAAGCGTGAATAAAAAGGCCTTTTCCGAGGGAACATAATGGCTTTTCCCAGGCGGCCTTCCCCAAGCTGCATCACTAAATCCTCCACATATTTCACCACGGGCGCCCTAAACACTGCATAGATTCGTGTTATATTTACCACGCAGATATTACCAAAACGACAACATAAGTTGGAGAAATTCCATCGCATTGTCTATGGAAAGCGTTCGCTGAGAAACCGTGCGTAGTTGCGCGATAAATTAGTCGCCATGTTTGCTTTGGAAACCCGAACCAGCTATTTAAGACTCTCTGATAGTGACTTTTCGCCTGCCCGACGATGAGAGAACCAGGGAAGAAATGTGGAGAAGCACGGGGTCTTAAGCGTTGATCTTCAGTTCCTTCTGGGAATTTGCTAGGTAGCGCAGCGTGTCTGTATCGCTCCAGGCTCAACTCCATAGGTACAGCACCTGTAGGTTCAACCTCTTCCGCGAACACCTGACTGTCTAAAACTCCATTTATTGACCTGCGGCGGTGGAATGCACTTACCGATTAGGAGAAGACGAACATGATTGATGACTGTGGAGAGGTGATGGCAGACCCTTGCCTTTTCTTCTTCGGTCCAGTGAGCCGTTGGCTGTGTCACGCCCGCCTGGTACTTCGCCCAATTCAACACGGCACGCCACACATCCTCTTCTTCAAGGCAGAGCTGGCCGCACTTGACTGATTACATGAAATGCTATGAAGTTTTACTTACAAAATCGGACGATATTAACTTAATCACTGCATCTTTCGGTAGAGACAAGAACGCATTTGTTCGGACGCAATCAGACGCGTTTTCACCGATGTAGCTTATGCAGCGCTCCACAAATCCAGCTGCCGCTTTTCCTCCTTGCAAAAAAAATTTTGATTATATTTGCAAAAAAATTATGCGATGGCCGGGAATCGAACCCGGATCAACTGCTTGGAAGGCAACTATGCTGACCATTACACCACCATCGCATTTTATTTATACGACTCGTTATGAAATTTTGCACCCGAATACCTGCAGATCTGTCCTGAATTTCCAAAGCAGCCGCTAAGAAGGTGCAGGCGGAACCTACGGAGAGTGTCGACGTGACGTGATCCTCGCACGCCATCCGCAGTTCGTCGACACCTAGCTCTTGCGCCAACACTAACATTTCAAATACGCCGCTATCTTGAAGTAGAATCTAAGGAGGAAATGTCTTAATTAGTCTAATACCTGCAGTATGAGACGTACTTTTCCAGTGTAGACGTATATAAGAAACTGCCGGAAAGTCTCTGGAGGTGCTTGCAACAGGCGAATTTGCGTTGGCGTACCTGGGGTTGAGGTAGAGACAGAGCACCCAGGTATTCTGCACACTTCTCCACGTTTTGCCGTTTGAAAGCTTTTGCATCTACACAAAATATTCTACCTTTATATTTATTATTATTGTTAAAAAGCAAAATAAAAATTTTCCCATACCGGGAATCGAACCCGAGCCTCCTGGGTGAAAGCCAGGTATCCTAGCCACTAGACCATATGGGATATACTTGTGCACATATCTTTTTCACAATTTTAGCAGAAGTTATGTCAATAAATTGTGTACAATTTCTCATTTTTAAGAATATTTAACATTGAATAAATATCAAACGATAAAATTACTCAATGAGTGTTGGTTGTTACAGTGAAATTTCTCAACATTTTCTCATATTTTTAGTGCATTTTCACTTTAAAAAACAAAAAGCAGTGCACTTTTGCGCTCTTGATGTCTGTCTGTCTGTCTATCTGAGTCCCAATAAAGGCTCCGGAACGGAACTACACCACTTACAGATTTGGTATTGGTATCATTTGATCAGAAATTAAAAATTATTTCATGTATGCTCGTTAAGGGGAATGAAATGTCCATAAGGGCTATTTAAAATCGAAAAAACAAGTGCACTTTTCGCCTCTTGCTCACAAGCGGCTTAACGAATTTGCGTGAGTTCATAGGATAAAGTTCAAATCCAAAAATTCTGAATGAGCTGGAAACGTGATTGTTTCGTTTGAACTGTTATTTTATTCTTTTACTTATTCGTAAATTGAATAACAGTTATGGACTCGTAAAGGTACTGTGGCTATATTTTTATTACTATCCATGTTTGAGTCAACTAGTTTTCTCTGGCCTTCCTTTGTCTTGCTAGATTCATTATGGGTTTTTCGCGCTTTTTTAGAGATTTTTCGATAGATGGAGCTATAGCTGGGATTTGTTCCAAACCATCATCAAAGATCAGTGCATAGTATTATTTTTGGCATCATTCAATTTTGTATTGTGAGAGAGGGCACCACCTCACCCACAAATTATTTCCAGGTGATCCGTGTTTTCAAAGAAAAGTTTGGACTAGTGCTCTTCGTATTGGTGTTTTATTAAATACTTTTATTAATTTTTCAGCGTTTTTCATGCAAACTTTCAATGTGGTATTAAACCTGAATGATCGTAAAGTGACTCGTATTTGGATGTGGATGTTCGTCGAGAAGGGGCTGGCAGCTAAGCCCTGGGAATGCGGCTCTGTCCAGGTGAGACCGCATTTCGACATTGCTCGTGGGAATTGTATGGACGATAATCTAAACAAACTCTTTCTGGGCTCGCGAACGGAGTCCAGTAACAGGGCAGGCTCCTCGAAAGAGGGGACGCCAAACCAGTCGTCAGGGACCAAGCGTCTCAGATCGGAGGGAAGCACCCCCAAGGTCTAGCTCAAGGCAGCCTGAGGAAAAGCCCAGAGTTTCTCGATCACTTATATAGTTGCGGGTGCGCCATGAACCTATGCGCAAGTCACTGCAGCGAGATGCATTATACAGTAGTTGACCAAATGGGGGGAGGAGGGGGGCTTCCCTCGGCTGGCAGGATTCCGGATTCCAGCGATGCCATTCTGACCGAATGCGAGGACCAGTGGAACTTTGAACTGGTTGGAGAGGACCATCCCTCTTATTAGACCCTAAAATGGCGCGTCTCTGAAAGTGCAAAGGCACGTCCCTAGGGTAGCGTAAGGCTATGGCTGTGTTGATGACAAGGCCACCATCTTGTAGCACCTTCAGAGGCAAAATCCTGGTTTCAGGACGAGGACGTTTTCTTCAGGGAGAAGCCAGAAGCCTGGTTGGATCCTCCTTGCATTTGGTGTCGATGAGGCACTCCAGTGGCAGAACTTTCAAGCGCACGCAAGGGTTTCGCACGTGAGTCCGCACGTCACATTTGTGACGAAAGTGAGTGCTCGGGCTGCTCTAGATAAAGGAGAGGGCTCCACCTAAGCAGCAGGACACAGTTCCGTTGCGATTGAGGGAGTTTAATCCTCCGTTATCTGGACGTCGGGATTACTACCGGCCCCCTCAGAGGTCGAGAAAGATGTCGACGAGTTTTGGCACGTGTGGCGGTTCTTGCCTCCGACCAGGGGTCGGAACCGGCGGCATCCCTAGTGGAGGGGGGATACTAGTACATCAGTGGTGAACGAGGCAACCTTCTTACAGAGAAATTTACAGCATACCGGAGATCGATCCGCGACGACGACCTTTGTCGCTACCCATCTGGGTTTTAACCCTGACAGGGCCACTTATAATCGTCACTACCCACACCGAAACACGAGTCACTTTACGATCATTCAGGTGTCTATGATGGGCGTTTCCTTATCGGATGGACGAGGTAACTTTTTTACAGATCAATTTGCAACCTGTTTAATTGGTCGGCAACTTGCTGTCAAGCAGTCTGTCTGTCTGTATGCTTTATACAAAAACCTTGGGTTTACAGGGGATGCGTAAGAAATCTGGGCCAGGTCGAGGACTCTGTTTATTACAAGAGAGAGCCAACTGAACCCTCAAGTCTTATAATAATAATAATAATAATAATAATAAACAAAAAAAAAGAAACACCATAAATACAATTAAAAAACACAAAACTCCTTCTTCACAGAAGCACACCACGTTATCACAACCCACTCGTATTCAACCCAAACGCAAAGCCAAAGAAACACTTACACAATAAACTCCATTTAATAAAATTACAGGAATTATTATAATGATTTTTTTTTTTGTTTTGTTTTCCTCTTTCCTGATAGCGTTGGCTATTGTGCCCATCAATAGGTATGTTGGTAAGTACGAATTACATTATCCCTAGATGTCCAATGTACGTGTGTGATTTTTTTTTTTTTTTTTAAGGACCCTACATAACTTCACCAGACACAGACACTAATCGTTACTTGATTTTAATCCGTGCGATTAGTTAACCAGGCTAGACCTGAGTTCTCACAAGAAACACCGACCATAATAATAATAATAATACATACTATTTGGGATTATACGTTGGACAAATACAGATTTAGAACAAATACAGAGAAACACACGTACACTATTAACAAAACACCATATACATCACCCTCACTCCTCTACTATACGACTTTACCTTCCTCGTTCGGAAGGAGGTAGAGGACTTACAGATATAAAACTATTGCACCAAACACAAATACACAATTTACGACAATACTTTTATAACAAAACAGGTACTTCAGTCCTACACAAAACAGTAACATATGCAGACAAATCTTACACACCACTTAACCTACACGAAACTAATATACTCCCACCTCCATCCAAACCTACATACATCACAAATAACATACAGACATGGAACCAAAAGCCGGTACATGGACGATTTCCACAAGAGGTTAGTCAGGATTGTGTTGATTCTATAGCAACGCACACTTGGTTGTCTGAATGTGATATCTTCCCGGAGACTGAGGGTTTCATGTTAGCAATACAAGACCAGGTCATTAACACACGCAACTATAAAAAACACATACATAAAGACAAAACAGTGACAAACGATTCTTGTCGACTCTGTTCACAAACATCAGAAACAATCCAACATATAATATCGGCATGCACACGACTTGCACAAACTGAATACAAACATCGACACGATCGTCGATCAGGTAGCTAAAATCATACATCAAAAATTAGCACTTAAACACAATCTCATAACAGATACGACACCATACTACAAATACACGCCACAGATCATACTTGAAAACAACACACACAAATTATATTGGGACAGGACACTACTCACAGACAAAACTATCTGCAATAATAGACCGAACATTACACTTATAGATAAAACACAAAAATCCATTTGTATTATAGACATTGCCATACCCAACACTAACAACTTAACTAAAACACATGCAGAAAAACACCGCAAATACACCGATATAGCTATCGAGCTTAAGACGCAATGGAGAATGAAATCTACTGTTATAGTTCCCATTATTCTTAGTGCTACCGGAGTTATACCAAAGACAATACACCACAATTTACAACTATTAGGTTTAGACAAAAACACATACAAAAATTTACAAAAAGCAGTCATTATCAACACATGCCATATTGTTCGTAAATTTCTAAACATAACACAAGATACTACATACACAAATGATCCACAACGTATACATGTAAACAACAGCACTCCCTCACAACACGATACACAACATACTGTAATATCTCCACCTCTAACCCAAACAAACACACAAATACAACTTACCGAACAAACAAGTACAACAAATGATACAACATATACTACGATCAGAGATTCACCTCTGAAGCAAACCACATTATCACAACCCATTAGTATTCAACCCAAACGCAAAAGCCTAAACAGCACTTTAGACTCACAACATGACACACAACATACTGTAATATCTCCACCCTTAACTCAACCAATCACACAAACACAACTTCCTGAACAAACAAACGCAATAAATACAAGTAACGCAACATGCACTACAAAGACGCCCTCACCCAATAAAGTTACACGTCCTAGCACAGTTAAAAAACACAAAACTCCTTCTTCACAGAAACACACCACATTATCACAACCCACTCGTATTCAACCGAAACGCGGAAACCTTAACAGAACTACAGGCTCACAACATACTGTAATATCTCCACCAAACACCCAAGCAACCTCACAAATACAACCTCAAGAACAAAGAAACACCATAAATACAATTAACGCAACATGCACTACAAAGACAGGTCCACCGAATAAAGTTACACGTCCTAGCACAGTTAAAAAACACAAAACTCCTTCTTCACATAAACACACCACGTTATCACAACCCACTCGTATTCAACCCAAACGCAAAGCCAAAGAAACACTTACACAATAAACTCCATTTAATAAAATTACAGGAATTATTATAATGATTTTTGTTTTGTTTTGTTTTGTTTTCCTCTTTCCTGATAGCGCTGGCTATTGTGCTCTTCAATAGCTATGTTGGTAAGTATGAATTACATACTATCTCTAGCTTTCCAATGTGAGTGTGTGAATTTTTATTTTATTTTATTTTTTTTAGGACCCTACATAACTTCACCAGACACAGACACAGACACTAATCGTTACTTGATTTTAATCCGTGCGATTAGTTAACCAGGCTAGACCTGAGTTCTCACAAGATACACTGACCATAATAATAATAATAATAATGTTTATTGAGCATACATCTAAACGAAACAAAACAATAAAATAATAATGTTGTACAGCTCAAAAGGTAATGAATTCGGCCTAAAGCCGTTTTTCAATTCATCCTGTAAGACACAAAATGATAAAAAAAAAACAAAAACAGTCGTCTTGCTAAATTAATTACAATTCTCTAAGAAAAAGCCCTTAGTAGATCTAACAAACTGAGGATAGTTCATGTGCAATGCATCTAACCTTAAATTTAACAAAGATGGTGCAACATATGTGAAGCAACCCTGGAATTTTGCAGTTTTATGTGTAGGTATTGTAAAAGAATTAGTTCTTAAATTTACACAATGAGCAGCCGATCTTTATATCAATAGGTGATATAAATATGACGGTATTCTAAATTGTAAAATTTTATAAAGCATTATCATATATAGATATTTGACACGATCCTTGATTTTTAACTCATTAAGTCTGTGATAATACGGCGTGACGTGCTCTCTAAGGGGATATTGCAAATGTATCTCATGCACGCATTTTGAGATTTTTGCAGCCTTGCTTGGTCACGTTTTGTGAGAAAAAAATAATACACCATACAACAATCATCAAAATGGGGTAAAATAAGAGATTTGACTAGCTTACGCTTGCTGGACCCATTTAGCAGAGATTTAAGGTGATAGATTGACTTTAGTTTTAGATATGCAATTCTAATTATGTGATTAACATGATCAGTAAAACTTAACCTACTATCTACTTTAATGCCTAAGTTTTTAACCGTGGTAGACCATGGTATGCTTTCGCTCATTAGACGTAACTGAAAACTAGACACCAACTCCGAGTGAAGTCGAGGACCCACACAAATAGCAGTGGATTTGGCAGGGTTCAATCGCAAACCATTGTTTTGACACCACGTGTGTACACCAAGAAGATCAGAGTTTACAACATCGATGGTTTCTTCAATATTTGATGTACTACACTCTATGTAAAGTTGTAAGTCGTCCGCATACAGATGGTATCGAAGTTGATGAAGACTTGTAGGTAAGTCGAAGGTGAATGCCGAAAAAAGTAAGGGGCCCAAAACACTCCCTTGCGGAACATCTCTCTTGATTCTCGCGAAACTTGACGACCTATGAGAGATTCTGACTCTTTGAGATCGGCAATTAAGATATGCTGTGAACCAGCCTACACTATTGTCATCAAAACCTAGGTGCTTCAGTTTGGCGATGAGCAGCCCGTGATTTACTAAGTCGAAGGCCTTACTCTGATCTAGCAATATCAAGATTGTGCACAATCTTCAAGAAGCAGCTAGGTAAGGTCCGAGACTCACTTCTCTGGGAGTCACTGGGATGGGACCATAAAATCCAGGCTAACTTTGGCTAGAGGGCACTTCTGGGACTAGAGCCTTTACATACGGCTAAACAATTGGGACGAGTGGAAGGATCGAGGTGGCCTTGGGCACGGGCGGATCTGGGAGGAAACCCTCAGATCTGATTCTCTCCTCCCAAGAAGGGATGTGATCCGGGCTGTCTTACTAAGTTCAAACGTTATAAAGTTACTCTCCCGGGCAGGGAGCAGTGGCTGAACTCAGATTGCTCGTTTTTAAAACCTGATGGGCTCGTGTGGTTTATAGAGTCCCTAACGAAAGGGGGAGCGGGAATGGGTTTACGAGATGGTCAGCTTCTCCTTGGTCAGCATTGGTGACCGTAATACGCACATATACATTAATGCGGAGACATTCTGGCGGGCTGAGGGTTAGTTAGCAGAGGTTCCGATCGGCTAAGGCGCTTGATTGCAAGCGTAACCTTAGTTTAGGTGACTACTGCCTGTTACCAAAATTACAAATTTGCAATTTGCACGGCACTTACTCTGGGCACTTATAAATGCTGAAGCTGTGAGAGTGTTATTGCATTTCGTCATTGCTTTCATAAATTGGTATATGACACAGAAATATCCCCTCGTATTAATATAATTTTTCCAATGCCAGGGCTCGTAACTGCTTGGCAACTTGTATTTTGAACCGAGCACTATATATAGTATTTAATTGGGAAGCTTCAAAAGCTTTTACATATTTCTGGAAGCACCTCAAAGATGCAAACAAAATGCGACAAAAATATCAAAGCGCAACAACAATAAAACCCATTACAATCTTACTTCCTATGATTAGGGTTGTTACCCGATAAAAGACTGAAACAGCAATCAAATGCCGAGTAGGTAGAAACAAGAACAAAAGGGTCACGAAATCTTTGAAGTTTTAATGAATCCGTCGTAGAAGCTTACAAAAGCTCTCTCCTTACCCGTACTCGCTGAAATATGCATTAAGACATTTTTTATGACTGCAATATGTTAGCTGTAGGTATAATGCGTAGTAATTAAAAAGTTAATCGAAACGAACTGTCGAAAACGCTTTTAATATCGTGAAATCAATTAATTTAGCGGTTTTCCGTATATCCCGTAGGATATTGACACAAGCGGCGGTGATTGTCACACTCCCCCTTTTTTCGCAAATTAAATTTCCGGCAAGGATTTAATGGTATTTTTAATTAATCTACATACCTCGCCATTAGAATTACGCGATGTGCGTATATACGTTCTTCTTCGCGGCCCAGTACGAAAACAATGTCCGCCGAATCCGAATCTTCAGAGAGACGCTGCAAGTCGTCCAAGAGGCGAGGAACTCCTGCAAGAGCTTTGTCGGCAGATAGGCCGGCGGCTCCTAAACCGCCCACGCGAGATCCCATTGACACGGACTGAAAAATGAACGCGTGGTTAGAATATAATTCGAAAATACGCACGTAGGGTTACAACACGGATGGGGTACTTCTAAAAATTCGTGGCTAAGATTTTACAATTAAATAGAAATGGATACACTTTGACCATCCTACATTTTTGAGGGTGGCTCCCAAAAGAAACAAGTTTGACCTTCGGTTTGTTTGAAAAAAGTGCTTGTTTCCCCTCTTCCACTAATTTTTTTTACATACTTATATGTAACACCCTGTACCTAGACACATATGCACTCAAAATCGTTGCCTTATTTTTTCCTCGGCCGTCACCTTCGCTATACTTGTATGTCCTCTTCGATGATGATAAGGGCAGCGTTCTAGCACGTTTCCCCAGAGCGGGTGGCACACATCATAGAACATTTGAGCCCTGCTTTTACCCAAGTGTAACCACCTCTGCATCTCTTCTTGCATTTTTGCATTTGTAAGAAAGGAGGGGGGGGGGGCAGGTGATTGCCGACTGGTAATGGAAATGAGTCTTAGTGGGCGGTCTCTTTCTCCATCCCGAACCACTTTTGTACCTGGTGGTATGTGCGATAGTGATGATAGGGCGCAGTCTCGCAAAAGTACGGAAGCGTACAACGTTGAGGGTGTCTGTCGTCTCGTCTCTTTGACATAGGACAATTAGACACTTGTCGCCTTCTGCTGCGACTTGTTGGCGGCATCTGAGTGGAGGAAATTGGTTCACTAGGACTTGATTCTGTCTAAAGTGGTCCCACATTTTCATTTTCCCGTGTCAGAACAGGACAGAGGTATTGTGCCACCCAGTAAATGCGCGGACGAGCAGTTCAAATCCAGGTCGTACCTCCACTTCCCCTTCGTTGAACGAGCTGGTGGAGAAAGGGATGCATCCCGCCTCATCTCTGGCATTCTTCTGGAGTAGACGATCATTTTAGTGGATCCTCGACCGTAGAGGAGCACGAGTAAATTAACATCCTCTCCAACGATGATGACATGGTCATTGGAGGTACCTCTTTGCGACAATATCGCGATCTGCGTCTGCTTTTGCTATTTTTGTCAAATGCCCTCGAGAGCAAAAGAAGAGGAGTAGGTATCCCCAACAGCACACTTATATTCTCTGCGGATTGAGTGAAGGCAACGTAAAAAGCAGATTTATCGCTTTGAAGCAGCCTTTCGTCGCAAAATCGGGATGATGGAGGTGGTGGCTGTTGCCTAGGAGAAGACTTTTCAAGGAGAACATTTCCGGTGCGCTTGTCCCGAAAGTCTATAAACAAAATCACCTCACGTCACACGTGTGGGTATTGTTTGTCCCATTTATCTAATCGGGTCCTAATCTCCAATTTTCGCGAATATTATGTAATGTTTTCAACGTTAAAAGTGTCTCTTTACTTATTTTGTTTAATTCCATATCATTTTCAATACATGACCAAAAAACCAATGGTTAGTCTGCGTTTGCAGCAAATGAAGCTGTAACGCTTGAGTAATAAATTAACGATCTAAGAACTCCATTCAGCCAAAATAAACATAATTTACCTATTATTTATAAGTAAACCCCCCATTCTTTTTTTTTTTATATTTTGCATATTACAAGAAACAGGACATCAACCAAATTTTTCTGTTTTAATTGTTGAAGTAGTGGCTGTTAATTGCAAGACAGTTAAAACGGAGAACTAGCATTACATTTGCAGTTGAAAATTCATCCAAAATGTTTGATTCGGTAGTTTATTGTACAAACCAGAATATTTGATCCAAGTTTGACAGGGAATTTGCTTTTGGTCAAACTATGTATATGTTTCTTTCTGAACGAATCCAAAAGAATTACGGTTTTTGGGTACCATTCTCCTACTTACGTATTTGTATGCTCTACCAATACGATTGCTATAAACTTGAGGGATGTAAAGATTAGTTCATTTTTTTCTAAATTATTAAGACATATTTGAAGATATTGTGACTGAAAACAGAGGTCGCAAAGTATGCAAAAAAGTGTGGTGTAATTATACGATAAAATGCACTAATATTGCGCATTTTTCTGCGCATCGTGCTTGAATTCTTAGTTTAAATAAAAAAACATCTACTTACAAGAATAATTTTAATAGTTATCACACACAAAATCCACAAAGGCTCGTTCGAAAAAAAGACAGATCCAAGCGAGCGTCGCACAAAAACTCTCCTTTGTTAGATAATCGCGTCGGTGACTGTGTTACGGAATCATTTTCTTAGTCTCAACACCTGAGCAGGTAAATCAAAGGTAAAACTTGAATCTCGTCTGCTTCAACAAACCGGCCAATGAGTACACTGCCCTCGACGTTGTTTTCGTTGTTGCCAAATTTGAAATGTGGGTTAAGTTTGTTTTGTCGCACCCATTGCTGGACCTACCGGCAGCTCGAGTTGTTGGACCAATACGCTTTTTCGCAATTGCCACGATCTAACGTGTTAAAACGATCCTACTTGAGTTAATTTACTATAAATTTTACTTACTGTACCTACCATACGCTATAATCTGTCTCAATTTAGAGATTTAAAGATAAAAGGTATAAAAGACATTCACTTGTAGAAATTCAAATTCAAAATGCTTTCTAGGGGACTGAATTCAGAAGAATGACGAAAAGTGATTTAAATTACCTACAGTACATATAATAGTTATTTGTACAACTAGAAAGTGGAGTTTTTCAATTTGGAGTTCAAAGTTTGACACACGAGCATAGCGAATGTGTCAATTGAAACGAGAGTCGAAAAACACATTCTTCTCAAGTTTTAACCTGAGTTTTGCACATCATTTTTTCTGAAACTATAACCAAAATTGAAAAATTATCGCATACAATGATGAAGTTTGACATATAGCAATTTATACGAGGATGTTTCAATTTTAAATTAACGCATTAACTGTTTTTTACTCTCCTCACTAGAGGAAAATGAAAATTTCTTCACCCTTTTTAGAACGAAAGAAGTAGTTTCAGAAAAAATACATTCGATGTCTTGAATTAAATATGCTCTTTTTTGGTCTGACAAAAATTGCGAAAATGAATTGAATGCACAAAGGAATTGAATTATCTTTAATTAGTTACAAAGCATAAGAACTAATCCAGTTTACACAAATCAAATGATTGAATTTGCAGTATATTACGTAAAAATCGAACAAAAAGGGTAAACGCTACCTATCACCATACACTAAGGACTAAGCGAACATTCTGCAAGGATGTGAGGCTGCACCTCTTCATGGACATATTTTCAATACATTTCAATATAATTCAAACAGGAAAAAGGGATATTTTGCTGGTTTTTTTTTTAAATACCTATTAATGACCATTATTCCTTCGTGCAGTTCTGAACGGGCTTTTCGGCCTAATTCGAGTTCGTGTATTAATTTCTTGATTCTCATCGATTGAAGTGTGTCTGTGGTGATATCCCCTTTACCTTTCTTTACTTACTTTCTTCGTACTTTTTGGAGATTATTGGGTCACCTTCATAATTCCTTTAGCTTGGCATGTCATAAAACGTGCAATATGAAAAGAAAGTAAAATATCCCTTTTGGTAATTTATGCCTGTCATTTATGTAAATCATCATATTCAAAATAAAAGTTCATGAAAGTTCCCACCCGATTTAACAATGAAGTTTATTGCTCTAGGGAAAGTTTAAGGTCATTATGTAGCGAACATCTTCGAGGTGCCATCACGGATTAGCGGATAAGGCGATAGGGAATGGAAGCGGATCTAAATTCTTTCTGTGAAATATGTGTTTTCTAGATGTTTGTGTTATATTTTTACGTGCTATCAATGTCAGTACAAGTAAGTGACAAATAATAATGTTCTGTTATAAATTCATCAGTAATTGATTTTACATAAATTAATCTCGTACTTAAATTTACGTTACAGTTAGTTTTAAATTGGAATATTCGTCAGGAATCCACCTTTTCTAATCCAGGATTCCAAAATTAATAGATTAACGCCTATATAAATTCTGTTTGCTTTCGTAAGGGTTGAAACTTATATTTATATGGGAAAAGTGGTTGAAAAACAATAGTTTGTAATTGTAAACGTATAGTGAATACCAATTTATTATTACTATCATGAGCTCATGACGCAAGATGGTGGTCACGTGAAAACGCTTAGGAGCAGATTACTGCATTTCTTATAGGATTTGTTCAGTTCTCCAGTTTCTTCAGTCCCCTAACTTTTAGGTGCTACAGATTTTCCAACCCTCATATCGTTTTTTCTTCAGTTCGTTGAGGTTTTTCGCATCCATGTATTCATGGTCGCTAACGAAACATGAAAAATAATCGATTCGAAAATAAGAATATTCGATCCTCTCAAAGGTATTATCCCCTTCCATTAGACAAGTGTTACGCAAGAAAGTATTTTCATTTAAAAATTCCCAATTTCAAAATGGATAAGGGCTGAATTTTTATATGTATTTCGAACCGCTAATCGGTCATTCAACTTAAAAATAAGCCGTCATTACTTCCGATAAGTACCTACTATGTAAGCAAGTACTTCCCTTAAATTTAATTTCAAAACAGTTTGGGGTTGAATTGTATATTTATGTATTCAGTGATACTTTAAATAACAGTAAGTTAATCTAAAAATGGGAATATTTGATCCTCGCAAAATATTGGAACCTCGCAATAGTGTCACCCTCTTTCTTTCCAATGTTATTAATATAATTCAACGTTAAACTTTAATGAGAATGATATTATTGATTACAAGATTGAGCGTTATTACATGTGACAGTTACGGTAAAAATTCTAATCTTTCTAAACTATGAAATACGCCGCCTATTATTTTTTATCTAACACTAACTTTAACTGACTTTAACACTTTCCCTTGTTTGATAAAAATTAATAATTATACAAGTCCCATCTTTACACAAAGGATATGTAATCTTGTTTGAGCGAGAGGCTTTGTCATAATGTCAGCTACCTGATGTTCAGATGAAACCTTTTCTACAACCAAAGTGCCTTCACTAACATGCTCACGAATAAAGAAGTGTTTCCTTTGAATGTGCTTGGTTCTGCGATGATTTTCGGGATTCTCAGAAAGTCTAACAGCTGCTGCGTTGTCAATCTGGATAACTGGAATTTCCTTTAAAAATGTAATTTCTTGCAAAAGTCGAGTAAGCCAAATAACTTCCTTTGCGGCTTCACTTGCAGCTACGATTTCTGCTTCAGCTGTAGATTCTGTTACGGAACCTTGTCGCTGACTAATCCAAGAAACAGCTCCATTGGCATATTTGACCAGTACTCCTGATGTTGAACGACCTGTTTTGTTTTACTACAACCACCGAAATCAGCATCACTGTAGCATTCGAACGCTCCCTTCTTAGCGTTACTTTGATGATAACGACCTGTCGATATGGAAATATGACTTCTTTTTCTGATGCTTTCCCTGAATTCGAACTTCCTGAACTTGAAAGCATTGGTGTAGAAACTGACTTGCATTCAACAAAATTAAAACGCTCAAGTAGTTTCTGAGCATACGATTTCTGGCTAATCTTGATATTTCCATTCTGCGATTTTTCAATTTCAAGACCCAAGAAATATGTTGCTTCATTTGAGGTAATCTTGAACTCTGTTCTAAGTTGGTGGATAAATTCTTCAAGATCTTCTTTATGAGTAGCAGCAATAAGACCATCATCTACATATAATGCTAAAACTATCTTAGCACCATTTTTCTCTTTAACAAACATACATGGTTCTTCTTTACTGGCTCTAAACTGTAATTTTTGTAAATATTTTCCAATACGATGATTCCAACATCTAGGCGACTGCTTTAGTCCATATAAACTCCTTTTGAGTAGGCAGACTCTACCAGACTCATCATCGTATCCATCTGGCTGTTTCATAAAGATCTTTTCCTCCAGCTCTCCATATAAAAATGCAGTTGAGACATAAAATTGGGCCAAATGCATTTTCTCTGTTGCAGCAATACCAAGTATCAAACGAATAGTTTGCAACTTTGCAACTGGACTGAAAGTATTATTGTAATCAATACCTTTCTTTTGATTGTATCCTTTTGCGACCAATCTTGCCTTGTATTTTAAAATACTTCCGTCTGGATTTAATTTTAATTTATAAACCCACTTACAAGCAATTGCTTTACCACCTGTGGGTAATTTTACTAATTCCCATGTGCTATTTTCCATCAAGGAAGCCATTTCATTGTCCATGGCATTTTTCCAGGATGCACGATTTTTATCTTGTATAGCTTCTTCATATGTTTGAGGATGGAGCTCTGTCATCATCGCCATAACGTAATCTTCAAGATACTTTGGAGTGCGGATAATTTCTCGATTACGTAACGATCTTTCATTGTTATATTCACTACTGCACTCATCATCACTTTCTTCTTTGCTTTCTTTAGTTCTTGTGCTGCCTTCAGGTTGAGTAATTTCTGGTTTATCAATCTGGTCTTCTTTTTCTGATTCATCTTCTTCTGACAATCTATTCCTGAAAAATACTTTTTCTTTTTCTTCGCATTCTTGAGTTACTTCATTAAATTTTACATCTCGAGATAAAACAACGCATTTCTTCTCTGGAACGTACACTCGATATCGTTCATCTCCATCATAACCAACTAAGTAGCCTTTTTCAGCTTTTCTATCCATTTTTCGTCTTTTCTGATCTGGAACATGGATATAGCAGGCCGAACTGATGATTCGAAGGTGTTTTATCCTGGGTTTCTTCTTATACCAAATTTCATATGGAGTAATACCATCTTCTGACGACTTCCCAGTCCTATTCAGAATGTAGATCGCTGTTGTAACTAACTCAGCCCAAATCGCGTCCGGAAACTGCACATCAGAATTGGAATACTTGAACGTACGTGCCATCTCGACAATTGTTCTATTTTCTCTTTCACTACCGCCATTTTGTTGTGGTGTATACGGTGCTGTCAATCGCTGTGTGATACCCCGTCTCTGCAAGATTTCTCGAACATCTGCGTTGTCAAATTCACCTCCATTGTCGCTGAGTAGCTCTTTAATGAAGTGACCCTGAGTTTCTGCATGCGTTAGCATTTGTTCTAAAACTACTTTGACATCAGATTTATACTTAATAATAAAACCGTAACGATATAGCTATAACTGTCCTTAAATACCACTAAATAACGTTTTTTCTGAAAAGACTCACAAAAGGGTCCACAAACATCGACCGAAATAAGTTCTCCCGGTTGTGAGGCACTTTTTCTGTTACCAAATGGAAGTCTATGCGCCTTACCATATACGCACGGTTCACATATTGTATCATCAAACTTAACTTTAAGATTAAACTCTTGTTCAAGCTTTTTCTTGACGTAACGCTTATCCTGATGACCCCACCTTTCATGGTATAACTGTAAATGATCGTTTGCTTCTACTATTTTTACTGATGCCCTGTCTTGGGACAAAATTGGACTAATATTTGCCTTATACAATGATCCAAACTTCTCTCGAATACCACTCAACACTGTGATGCCGTTTACCAAAAACGAGCAAGTGGTTACGGTGGATCCGAATTCACTGTTTAAATTTTTATCATGGGCAGCCAATGGTGAAAATAAATTTCTCGAAATTTTCGGAACGTACCAAACATCTTTCAATAAAATATGTTGGTTCTTCCCATTGACAATTGAAGAGACCTTGATAGTACCGCTCCCGATAGCAATCAAACGTTCTTCTCCAGCTGCTTTAATTGTGCGCGGATCTTTAAACTCATCAAACGTACAATACCAATCAGAACGACTAGTTACATGCTTAGTAGCCCCATTATCCACAAACCAATCCTCTGAATTTGGTTCAGTAGCTAAAACTTCATTATCTATTGAGCCTAAAGCGACCTGAGACTCTGCAGCATTACTTTCAGCATTACTACTGCTACTACTACGTTTAGGACGACCATCTGCGATCCATTTTCTACAACTTCTCACCCAGTGACCCTTCTTTTGACAGTAATTACAGGTATCTTCTTTCTTAAGTTTCGATACAAAATTGAAATTGTCGGTACCCCTCTTTGTCTGCTTATTTGACTTAACCAACAAGGCTACTTGTTTATCACTATCATTACTTGAAGGCTGTCTTATATTTCGTTCGAAAATAATAATCTGCATGGTTAATTCGTCGAATGTTTTAACCTCATCTTTCGTTAACAGCATCCAACTCGATTTAAAATTCTCAAAACTACTAGGTAAAATATGTAAAATTTTACATACCAATAGTAGATCTGGGAGTGGATTTTCATTCTTAGCTTTTAACCCGTTATTCAGCTCGGTCCATAGACTCTTGAGCTTGGCTACGTGTGTGGAAACATCCTCGCCCGATGTCCAACCAAATGAAAATAGCTCTGTACAAATCTTGAACAGCTGATCTTTGGATGTAGCTTCAAACTGCTGTTTTAACGCCTCCCAAGCATCATGCGCCGTAACCTTGTCCATGATTTTCTGATAAACTGTGTCAGAAACTGTACTTGTAATCATTGACTTGGCATAACTATTTGCTTTTCGATACAGATCACTTGTAGCTTTAAATGCTTTTTCTTCATCTCGTGTTGGATTAGCACTAAGCGGAGTCGGTTTCTCTAGCTTCTTATCGATAACATCTAACGCTCCCTCATGATAATCAAGTAAATCACGAATTTTCCTTTTCCAATTTGGCCAGTCTGACTCACCAGTCAATGGTTTAATGTGCTTTGCTAAATCCATTCTGCTGCTGATGTGTGGATTTAACAACACTTCACAAATACACAATTCGAAACGGAAAAACACTAAAACGAAGGTCTGCGCCCATAACCTAATATAATTCAACGTTAAACTTTAATGAAAATGATATTATTGATTACAAGATTGAGCGTTATTACATGTGACAGTTACGGTAAAAATTCTAATCTTTCTAAACTATGAAATACGCCGCCTATTATTTTTTATCTAACACTAACTTTAACTGACTTTAACAGTTATAAGTAAGGAATTAAAAATTACATAATTTCAAAATAGATTGGGGGTTGAATTTTTATATTCATGTCTTCCTAGTTATCCCTTTAAAAGGATAATTATTTTAAAAGTGTAACCCTTTTCGTTATGTAAGCCCTCAGTAAGAAAGTGTTTTTAAGAGCGTTGAAGGACCGATTTCAGCCTAAAAAAATGCTAAATGATAAATGTTGTGGTTTCACAGTGGTCTCAGTATTAAACTCCCCGGTGACGTTTTAACAGGGTTTTTTTTAGTTTTCTGCTATATGCAGGTTCTATTTCTCCACCCTTCCCTATCCAATGCATTTTTTTTCATATCCCCGTATCCTCTGCCCTCTTTCTTACCGTATACCATCTTCGCTCGTCTTCTTGCTCTTTTCATTGTATCCTGTTAAGCTCTAGAGCTATCACTATAACTTTGGTTAGACACGTCATGGAAAGTTCCCTGCTGACGCAATGACAATAAATCCTACTCCGTTTTTCCCTCTTTTTTTTACCACTTTAAAAGAATGATAACAAAGATGGAAGAGAGGAGAAGTTACAAAAACATCAATAGGCTAAATATTCTCTTGTTCACGACATTTTGGCTCAGATTGCTTAGTATAAGCACAGATTAATCTATGGCATAAGGTAAGGCTGAGCTCAACACAATGTTTCTCAAAAGGACGACCCACCGCTCTTTAGTAGACCCCGGATGCGCGAAGATCTCGAAGACCGTTTGGTATTCAGTTGTATCAGATTTTTGTGCTTATAAATTCTATACGATAAGAATAGGCTGTGCATGCGCAGTGCCAACTTTCCTATTTGTGGACGGATTTTTTTGGTTAAATTGCTGAAAACGAATTTGGCGGACAAAGACTGTTAATGTGGAAATGCGCTTTTTGTAAATCGTTTACGATTACTTTTTGAACTTGTTTAATACATACAGTGTACAAAAGTAACACAACTAGCCCTTTCCCTGGATGTTCCAAAAAAATAGTAGAATTTGCACGAAATTTTATGTAGGGGAGAGGGGGGTGCATGTGGACAGCTTTTTTCAAAATTCAATATTTTTTTAATTTTCCATCAATTTTACATTTTCTTTACAGTAGTAACATCGGGCGGATATTGTGAAATGCATACTAAGTACATGAATGCTTAAAATATAAACAAAATGTGCATAATGCCTTTAAAGAAAAAAAAATGTGTTTGTCCACTTGTACCCCATTAGAGGGTGCATTTGGACAGTGGAAGGGGTCCATGTGGACACTTGTTACAAAATGAAAATCTAAGTAAGTTATGTCGAAATTTTCTGCAGAATATCTAAATTTAGAGTTAATTTACATTATACTTCGTGAGGTCTACACCGAATTTAAAGTAGTCAGAGGTTCTTGCTGTCCCTTTATGATTCACTGGCTTAGGTAACTTGAGCACAATATCGTCTCTTATAACAGTAGCTATGTCACTAATGACAGGAAAGTGAAAACTCCATCCAGGTAATTTGCGTCGTAGATATTTAACTTCACACTCCACACCACCTTCAAACAATTTTTGTACAAGGGCAACATAATATATAAAAGTCTTCTTTGTGGCAAATTTAACAAGCACAAAGTCATCCGTAGAAATCACATCGCTGTCCAAAATCGAATGTTCTTCCGCAAAATCGTTTCCGTCAAATCCCTCATCAGAAAAAGAGCCACCTTCTTCTGAAGAATCCTCTGCATCCATGTGCTCTTTATCTGGCGAACTTTCAAAAATAACCCGTTTCACATTTCGTTTCTTTTCCTTTGGAATTTGTCTTTCTTGTTCTTTGTTCTTAATAGCATCCATTTCTGGCGTACTTGTATATATACATGATTTGCCTGTCCTTCTTTGGACATTTCGTCTTGGCGCAGCTTTCGGGTATGGTCTGAGGACTTCAGGGGTCACAATTCCAGAGGGTCCTGGAGGTGTAGTATCACGTTCATCAAGAACAGATTTATTTTCTGGCCTAGTGGCATTTTGACCTGTAGTGCCTGTGTTGCTTAAATTACTATTTACAACTGAATCAGTTACTGGCCTATCAGAAACATATGAACTCTGAAAGTCTGCCTCGGTGAACACAAGTTCATTTAGTGGCCACAAACCAGTAGCTTCAAAAGCTTTTGTAATGTTCTTTGGGATGAAGCTTAGCAAGAATGGTTGCTTAGACAATTGTGGAATGTCATATATTGTAATTTGCTTCCCGGGATGTGTAGCCATGTGGTTATTGAAGGTGGATTTTAAAATTGCCTTAAAAGGCCCATAGACTCCAACATCTAGTGGTTGAAGCCTGTGGGAGCAATGCGGTGGGAACGCGGGACAACAATACCATTCTCTTTACAAAAACACAAAGCTGGCAGAGATATATGTGATTTGTGGTTATCGATGAGTAATAAAATGGGGTTTTCCTTCGACGGTGATAGATGGTGCACAATATGCTTCAGTACATTCATAAATAACTCTGCAGTCATCCAGCCGCTTTTATGAGCCAAACCAACAGCTCCAATAGGTCCGCCATTCACAAAGTGGTCTTTTGCATGGACCCTGGGAAATACATAAATTGGAGGTAGTGCATTTCCTGTTGCTGTTATAATTCCTACAAAGGTAACAAGCTGGCCACGTTCAGAAGATACTATCTGACCTACTTGTTTCTTGCCTTTCTCAGTGAGAACCTTTGGAGAGGGTAGGACAGTAGTTATGCCAGTTTCATCCAAATTTAGTATACGGTTTGGTTCAAATTTGAATTTTTCTAATACGCTCTTATAATTACAAAAAAATGCATTAACGTTTGCTGGATTGAAGGAAGTTGCACGAGCGAGGCTAGTGTTTTCAGGTTTTCTTAAAGAAATGTTTTTGTGTCTCTTTAAGAATGATTTCATCCAGTCAATCCCCGCCTGTTTTTCTACATTCCATTTATTGGGAAATTTTTTATTTAGTTTAAGGGCATACTCGTAAGCTAGTGTTCTTGTTTGACGCAAAGTCAAACCATAGTGAATTGATGAACTTTTAAGAAGATAACTATTCAACATATTTTCTTCTTCTGCTGAAAATACTTGATTGCTAGCATATTTTGACTTGCCTTGGTCTACAGTATCAGATTCTGCACCGGAATCTTCCGTTGTGTTCCGTTGCTTTTTGAAACGTTTGTGCAACATTGATTTCTTTAAGCCAAATTCCGATGCTGCTGTACGCAATGACATTCTGCCATTACTAATTTCTGTAAGGGCTCTTGCGACAATAGTTTCATCAATATCATCTCTCGATGTTTTGCGCTTATAAGTCCTTACCATACTGTAAAAAAGAAAATTTGTGGGTATTGAAACATAGACTTTAGGACACGGTGTGGAGTAAATGTGGACTGTGGACTGTGGGGTAGATGTGGACAGTCCACATCTACCCCGTATCTGCATGTCCACATGTGCCTCGGTTACAATTTGTAGATGAAAAATTGTTTTAAACACAAGGGTGATTTTCACAGGTAAAATATTGTGGTAGTAATAACCCCTAGTTAAGGTTTGTAAACATAAGTTATTAGCAGTATTATACATACAATCTACTTACTTGATGATCACCGATTATATTCCTCTAATAAGTTTACTTTGTCACCATTCAAACGTGCTTTCAACCATAACACAAACACTATCAGCTGTTAAATGTTCAAACTTTATTCACACATTAGGTATAATCAGAGACATCTATGAGAATTTTTTCGAATTTATTCATGCCTTATAAAGCGCTGAATTCAAACTGCCCACATGCACCCCCTGTCCACATGTGCCCCCCTTTCCCCTA